AAGTCCCTTTCCAGGTTTCTTGTAAGCCCCCTTTAGATACTGGGAAGCTGCTCTAAGGTTGCCTCAGAGCCTTTTCTTCTCCAGGCTGAACAAGCCTAACTCTCTTAGCCTCTCTTTATCAAAGAGGTGCTTCAGCACTCTGGTCATCTTCACGGCCTCCTCGGACTTGCTCCAGCAGGTCCAGGTTCCTCTTATGCTGGGTGGCCCAGAGGTGAATGCAGGACTGGAGGTGGGATCTCACAAAAGTAGAGTAGAGAGGGAGAATCACCTCCCTCGACCTTCTGACTTGTGCACTTCACTGTTTAACTTGCCCCCATAATATTCAGTTTACATTTTCCCTTAACACAATTTCTTCCCCTTTTTATACCTTTTCATACAAGCAAGCACTCTGTTAAAGTCTCATTATCCTGACTGCTCAAAAACCAGTAAGTGTGAACAGGTATTAACATGCCCCTGCAAACACAGCCAGCCGATACATAGCCAAACCAAGCAGGCTTGGGTCATTCTCCCACTGCACACTTCAAAAACCCAAACAAGCTCAAATGATTTCTCCATACCCTCAGTCCCTGCTATTTCTTTGCTTTGAAGACCATCCATCTCCCTCATACAGTAAGCCACTGATTTCAGAGCAAGATCATAACTTCCTGGCCCTGTTTAGTGTGCTCTTTGTGCCGACAAGACCAAATTCCACTGACCGTCCTTGTGTTCATTCTGCATGCCAAAATCTTATCAAATCTGCTTCATGTTTTGGCCCATCTACACCTTCCATTTGTTGAACGTCACATCTGGCTTTAACCAACACACTAGCAATTTCTTTCAATATCACATCTGCCAAGTCTTTTCCTCCCTTCTCAGGCTATGTATTTTGTGTTGATTAATAGATGTTTGTTTTGCGGGGTTTTTTTCAAGGTTTTGTTGGTTAGTTTGGTTTTTGTTCTTTTTTGGCTGGCTTTCTGCTCCTCCAAAGTCACATTGTATTTGTTCTCTGCCTAAACTTGCATTTGCAATTCAGCCCAGTTAAATAGCATTTGTTAATGCCATTAATGGGCTTTTAACTCCCCGCAACCCGATTAATAGTGGAGATATTAAGTACACCCACAAGTAATGTTTACTAAAGCATCCACGTGATTTTAGAAGCATGAGTCCTGTCAAATGTCTCCGCGTCAGCTTTGCCTTTGAAAGTGAACTTCACAGTCTGGCATAAACCCAGAGATCTGGGAACATGCTCTGTATTTTGGGGTGAGGAGGGCTCCAAGCTTATCCCTCTGTAGCAGTACACTGGGGTAAGCATCAAATCAAAGTTGATTTACGTATATTGATATTTTTCCTTCCTTCCTTGAGTGCTAGCTTGTCTTCTGCCTTACATCCTGTTTAGCCACCCTTTTTTAATCCTTGTATTTTCAAGAAAGCAATGGAGACTCTCCGTCATTTCAAGCCCCATCTCATTTATGCATGGATGAACTCTCCAGTACTACTTGTTTTCACAACCTCTCTTTCTAAAATCCTTTCATCTTTCCTTGGCAGCAAGAACTCCCTTCAGATTCCTCTTGCATGGCCCTTTCCCTGCAGCAGGTAATGACTGAGCATTCAGATTTGGTTGCTTTCCCTACAGCAATGGATATTAACATACCTAAATAAATACACCTATCTATGCAGGAGCCAGACAGGTATCCACACAGATACCTTGCTGTGTCCCTCTAATCATAGAATCATAGAATAATTAGGGTTGGAAAGGACCTTAAGATCACCAAGTTCCAACCCCCCTGACATGGGCAGGGACACCTCACACTAAACCATGCCACCCAAGGCTCTGTCCAACCTGGCCTTGAACACCTCCAGGGACAGAGCATTCAGAACTTCCTTGAGCAACCCATTCCAATGCCTCACCACCCTCACGGTAAAGAACTTTTTCCTTATATCCAATCTAAACTTCCTCTGTGTAAGTTTTAACCCGTTAGCCTTTGTCCTATCACTACAGTCCCTAATGAAGAGTCCCTCCCCAGCATCCCTATAGGCCCCCTTCAGATACTGGAAGGCTGCTATGAGGACGCCAAGCAGCCTTCTCTTCTCCAGGCTGAACAGCTCCAACTTTCTCAGCCTATCTTCATACAGGAGGTGCTCCAGTCCCCTGATCATCCTCGTGGCCCTCCTCTGCACTTGTTCTAACAGTTCTGATGCCCGCCTTCAATGAGCCTCATAAATGCCTTATCTCAGTTGAGCCATCCTCAGTCTGCTTTCAGCCCCTTGTAGGGGCCAGTCCTAATTCTGAGGGAAGAACAAGATGAGACACATAGCTTTTTTCCTGGGCTCCTCCTTCACAAAGAGATTGTTTACATCTCAGTACATCTGAATGATTTCCTAGAATGGCAGATAACTACTTGGTGCTGATTCATCGCAGCAGGAGCCACACAGCTCCACCGCACTCACTTCACAAAAGCACTGAAGCTCCAGGGTCCTGCATCCTGTTCCAGCTGTGAGTTCCTCCCAAACACTCATAAAAGAAGGAGGGCCTACCTTTCCAGCCAGTGTGTACAGAATTAAGTTCCTGCACAGTTCCCCGTTGGTATTCCCTAGCCTCAGGTCGGAGCTGACTGCCTTAAAGCACAAACATGACTTTTGCATCCATGTCCTTGTTGATGCCCTTCAGAAACCTTACTCAATTACATTGTGTTCACCATCTGAGATAGTGGTATGGAGCTAGTGGGCCACCCGCTGTGCTGACATACAGAGACAGTTCCCATACCAGCTCTGAATAGCCCAGTTGTATTTCTTCAGACACAGTGTTAAGCTTGAATGACATTCATCAGTGATTCAGCAGAGACTTGATAGCTTTTGGCTGCTGCTTTCTTGTTGTTTGCATGGCAAAAGAATGCCATTTATCATAGTCCAGGAGCCTTGCCCATGATGGTTTGCTCTGAGGTTTGCCTATTTGACATAAACAGAATTTTCAAGGGATGATCATGCTAGATGAGCACATGCTTTCAGCTCCTCATGCAGTAGCAGAGGAGTGCTTTCTTGCTCCTAATCAAATGCACAATGTCCTAGCAGAGCTGTTTCTCTCTCACTGGGGAGCTGCTTTTAGTTGCCAGACCACTTGCAAAGACCAAGGTACAGAAATTAAAGGAGAAGAATCTCCGAAGTTTCTCCATGGAGCAGGGGAAGGATGTGATGTGACTGGCCACTGTACCAGTTCTCTGCATTTCCCTACTATGTATAATTAGATACATTACAGAAGAAGAATACTATTTACAAGTCACAAGATTTCCCATCAGCTGTTCACACAGCAAGGATTGTCTTTTTAATATATGTGTGTATATATATATACTATATGTCTAAAGCTCAGTGCAACTGATCTCACACAAATCAGGACCCTCTGGGTGCAACATGGTTATAAGCACTATCTCAAGCACTGTTTTACAGTAACTTGGCAGCTCCTGTGGCTCTGCAGAAAGGGAGACCACTTCAGTGAATCCTGCTCAGTGGAAATTTAATGTGTTCAGAGAAGCTTGAGGGAATGGTGATCTGGAATGGCCTGTTAGCACATGGTTAGAGGGGTGGAATTAGACCTACACCCTCTGGCTGGTGTGACAGAGAGGGGCAGAGCCAGGGGGATCCAAGTGAACTTAGTGAATGTGTGACATAGGCTAGTCTAAGGGGGGATGGAGAACCACAGAATGCTCCCAAGGAACAACCCTGCAGAACTGCACACTGCTTCTCCATGGGCGCCTGCCAAGCACAGCCCTGCCTGATTTTGGACACCCTGCTGTGGGTGTGTTTCTAATAAAACAAAAGAGAAAAGGCCTTTATTTCAAGAAAAAACACCCACAAAGAAATTGAATAAATGCTATTTAAATCTTGTCTCCTTTTCATAAGCTTAATACAGAACACAGGTCCATCTCAAAGCCCCAGCACACCACAGAGGGCCTCTGAGACCACCTCTGTGGGAAACCTCTCTGATGTGGCCCTGTCCACAAACCCCTCTGAAGCACTCCATACAATGGCAAAGGCAAACCAGCAGCTCCAGCCAAGGAGAAAACAGCTGGATTTGCTGAAGAAACAAGAAATTAAAAAAAGCAAAAAAGTCTGTGTTTCTCTTGCTCATTAAAAGTCTTTGGATTTTGTTGGAGACTCAGATTTAGCAAGGAATTGAAACATTACCTGATCTCCTGCACAGATGCTACAGTTTTGTGGGGAAGCAGAAACCTCTTTAGGAATAGGATTGCTCAGGGAGGGCCCAGCCTTCCTCTCCCAGAGGGCACCAAGGGCATGCTTGTGCACTGCAAACATGGGCTGTGGTTGGATAAGCCTGAAACCTCCAGGCTTCCCTGTTTGCGGTCTGACACTTCTTCAGAGTTTGGTTCAAGGAGGGAGGAGTGTACTCTGAGAGCTCCAGGGAGCTACTCTGTCTTCTTGGAGCAGTGGGGGACCTTAAGTAAGCAGAGCAATGGATGAGGATTTTCAGTGAAGGACCCAACAATGGAGAGCATTTCTTCTATAACCACAACCCTCCTTTCCAGGGCAGGTTTATACACTACAGGGCAGGTTTATACACTACAAAGACATACCTACCTACCTACCTTTACATTTTCCCAAGTGCTATGAAGTTTATTAACATGATTGTTACTACTTTTTGAGGACTTTGCAAACACGAGATTTAAGATTAAACCCTAGTTGTAACAAACTGCATCAGCTATACAAACCTGTCCCAAAGAAAAGATAGGCACAATGGAGCAAGGGCATAAATCACAACATGGGGACTGAGGGTGGGAGGGGGAAAATCAGGAAGGTCAGAGTGGTTGGATGATAAAAGAGTTGGCACATTGGTGTCAAGGGCACAGTTTGTCTCTGATGGTGTATAACTCATGTGTGATCTGTCCCTATGAATGACAGCTAAGCTTCACCTCTGTTGTCCTCTCGTTTCTTCACCTCTCATCATGACACTTACTGGAAGTGAAACTCTGATCACACTAAGATCAAGAGGAAAGAGAAACTGGGACATGGGTGTTTATGGTTTATCATGTTTGTCAGCACCATAGATTAACATCCATGTCAATGTCCTAACCAGTGGTTAGGAGAACATCTGCCAATGTGTGCAAATGCATTGAAGAAATTGGTCTGGCAAGTTGAGAGACACTTAAACCACACACAAGGAGGTCTGTAAGCAGGAGAGCTCAGGCTGCGCCGTTAAGATTTGGTAAGTCATTAGGAGTGCAGCAGCAACCTAAATGCCGCAGCAAGACAGACAGGAGATCATCAGCTCTTCACTTCTCCATAGTGTGGTGAGCACGCACATCCTATGAAAGTCAGCATTGAAGTTAGCAGGCCTGGGAAGTCTGCAGAGTGTCATTACTACCAAGGCACAATACCCTCAGGTGGTGCAAATCAGTGCAGCTTCACTACAAGGTTAGGTGATGATTCGTCCCAAAATCAGTATCGTTTTTTTTCGGCTGGTCAGTGTTGTGAACTTTTACCACAAGCAGAACTCTACCCTGTTGTTGTTTCGATAAGCGACAGTGTGTTTCGCAAAACGTTGTGGCAGAACACGTAACGCTGGCCAGAGGGCTGTCAGATTTGCAAAACTGGGTGAAATGTTGCAAACAGGCAGACTGGCGCCATTGGACAGCGATTCCGAAAAATGAACTCCTGGGCACTTCCCACTTTCTGTCAGGCGCCCAAACACCCTCCAGATATGCTTGTAACAGATGCTCCTGCATCCCAAAGGCTGCCTAGCCTCCAGGACCTCAAAGTATTGCCCCAGCATCTGAGAACGGATATAAATAATAAATATAGAAGGTTTATAAAAAGAAAAACAAAAAAACAAACCAACCAAAAAACCAAACCAGAAGCCAGAGGTCTGACTATAAGCATTTAAAATAAAGCATTGGCTTTGCCTTCAACAGTTCTGCAGGAATCTTGCCATCCCGCAATGCCAATGACCGAAAATGCCACCAGTATCTCCCTCTTAGGGGCCACCCAAAATGTCTGAGTAAATGTCCATGCCCTTGTGTGATTCCCTAAAATAAAATGACTATAATTGTGGTTAGGCTTTAGCTATCCAGAAGCCACATGAAAGAACATAAAAGCCACAGAATAACTTAGCTACATTGTCTACTGGGGCTTTGCCAGGGCTATTTCTGAGATGATGAAATCTCTATCTCTGCAGAACTTCTGCTCGGTTCCAGGTTCCCAGTTCTCTGATTTACCTTGCCTGGAAATCTGCTCTATCACCTTGATTTCACTGGTGTTTGTTCTTCCACAGCTGAATCCTATCATGGAAATGTAATTAAGGATAAGCTGTTCTCTGGCACCAATCTTGCTTCAGAGGCCCAAGTCCCACCCCAAACCCAATCCAGTCTAAAGAAGAGGCAGTCTGTTCCAGGACATTGCAAAGAAATGCATGGCTGTCCTGCTGAGTCACCCTGGTAGAAGGAGCCCTTGCCGTGCAAAGGTACGCAGTTCCGTTTGCTTGGTGCTTCATCACGTGCAAAACAAGCCAGCTCACCCACGTGTAGGAAGGAGAGGAAGATCTACATTTTGTGGGAGCAGCACAAGGGGATGGCTGTGCCAGTAAAACTGTTCCAAAGTCTTTAATTATCTGCCACCGCGTGGCTGGCGCTTGATTGCTTTTCAAATAACGGAGTTGCAGCAGCAGCAGCAGAGTTCATAAGAATTATTACCTGCAGACACAATCTACCCATTAGGAGACACTTCTAATGCTGAGAGACCCACAGATGAGAATAAACTTCATGTCTTGCAAGGGCACTGGTGGAATCCCTGCATTAGGGAGGGAACTCATAAAGAAGAGACAGAGCAAAAAGCTTGGGTCTGCATGCAGGGCATTTGAGAACTTTCTTTCAGCCCTTCCTTCCCTCAGAGAAAGCAAGTGACCATGAAAGAGAAGTCATTTCCAAGGGTGACAAAGTGAATTAGGATTGTAAACCTTGCATTTCAGAAGTGGATAATGGGGAGGGCTTTCAGCAGGAGAGCATTCTAAGGCCCATCGGGTTTGAAAATAAATCTTAGCTCCTCAAAGGTTTGACTCAATAAGTGTTAAAACACACTAATGTCCACTTCTCAGAGCTGCAGAAGTTCCCACTCCTGCCTCCATGTTCGCACCCTGCTCCCATTCCTGTGGTCCTGCCAGGCAGTTGCAGCAGCCTTTGTGCCCTGCTCTTTGCATATCATTCCTAAGTTATTAGAGCAAAGTCGGCCAGCGAGCAGAGTCTGTTATTAGGTTCAGAGTCGGCAAGTACAGTAGCAGTGTAAACAGCAGACCCGTCCAGAAGCTACAGTGCTGTCCTCTCTGTCTCCAAGGCTCGTGCTTCTCTGCTACCCTGAATTTCTGAATAGTTTCAAAACTGATGCCAGGCCCGCACTATCCCTGCAGAGCAGATGCAACCCCTTGCTCTAATCTAGGAGTTTTGGTGGCTGGGGAAGGAATAGCCTGCATGCATCATCTGCCTATATCCATAGCAAAACCTTCTCATGTTGCTCCGCTGATATGTGGCCAGTGATTACAGGGAGCAGGAGAGAGAGGCTCAAAGTTCCCTACTCTACACAGGGCACATTTACATCTTCTGCTGTTTGCTTGGCCATGATAGTCTCCAGTTAGCAAATCTCTAAGGTGCTGTCAGGTAAGCTTGTGTAGGAGAGTCCATGTCCTTAAAGGAGCTCTTAGGGTTTCTAAGCCATTCAAAGAGCCTGATAATGTATTTTCTCCTCTTCCCTCTTTGTCTCTTGAATTATGCTTTTATTCCCCATTATTTGGGTTACAGGTGCTTTTGTGCTGATGTTTACATCTCTCACACTGACTGTCCCTGCTAAAGACATCCGGCTCATGAAAGCCCCTTGGAAAAATGTGTTCATCTGACACATTTTAAAGTGTACCACACACACCCAACAGGAGAACCTGATATTACCTGAGACACTGTCCTGGGCACAGAAGAGTAAGGGGGCAGACCCTCCCCAAGTTCACCCTGGCCTGATCAGGAATTATCACCCACAGGCAGGCAACAAGGTCACACAGCGGGACAGCTCTGCCCACGGCTGCCCAGGGGATCTCTTTCTGCTTCCATCTCCCTTCTGCAGTCACGGATAAAGCTGAAGAGGGACCTTGCTAATGCTCCCCTATCTGGGTGGAAGGGACATGGGTTTTCTGCCAACTCTAGTTCCATAGTCATAGAATCATAGGATAATTAAGGTTGGAAAGGACCTTAAGATCATCTAGTTCCAACCCCATGCAGCAATTTTAACTTTTACATAAAGTAGGTTTCCATACACCTATGTTGATGAGAAGAACTTGACAACACAAAAGATAATGGCTTCAAAACTGAAAGGCAAATCCCCCTGTCCAAATTACCTTTCTTTTCAGTGCCTGTTCTCTTTAAGGCAAACTTCCAGGAGTCTGGCCTGGGCTCATGGGACAGCTGAGGCTGGCGATAGCACATTAAGTAGCACTCAGGCATTGTGCTGTCCTGCACAGAGGTGAACACTCTGGCAAATAGGAAGGCAATGCATAATGTGCTGTGCTAATTATATATATGCCTGTAACCAGGGAAAGGCCTATGTACATGCCAGTGCCTGGAAGAGACTGGAAACACAGGCATGATATGCAAAACTGCTATTCCTCTTTTCCCTTCTCTGCCCCATTCAAGGCACGCACAACACAGTTAAGGATGGTATTTATTTATTTCTTTGAATGAAAAAGAAAAATTGTACTTGTGATTTGTGAGGAGAGCTGCCAGAAGAGGAATTGGAGCCCTTCCAATACCTCACAGTCTAGTAGTTAAGCATTGCCTGAATTGGGCACCTGGGAATCTCGAGTCCTGCTTTCTTCCACTCACTGGTTTATAACTCTTGGCATTTAAAAAGGCACCTTGTAAACATTTATTTCATTGTTCTTCAGTATGTAATTGAGTCATTTGCTGGCTTACCTTGTTTGAGAGAGGAAAGCACCCTGCAAGGGGAAGTTTTCTCTTCTTCCCAGCTCTTCCTTGCCTGCTGGGGTGCGATGGCACCAGCAGCTCAGTGTCTTCTGCTTCCTGCCAGATGCTTTCTGTCTGCCTCTGAAGGTGGACAGGTCACCTGGCAGAGATAATCTGTGCTGCTAATCTTTCCTTACCTGCACGGCACCTGCTTCATCTTCCCGCATCAGTGGTGCTCAGCTGGCTGCTATGTCAGCCTAAGCCCCAGTCTTACCTCCTGAATGATCTTCCACATGGCTGGTTCATGTGAGGCTGGAGTGGAGGTGTGGTTTCCTCCTCCCAGCCCTCTCTGATGAGAAATGTGGTTGCTAGTCTCAGTGGTGGTGCTCTGAAGTATGCCCAGCTACTCAGCATGTCCATGCTATGCATGTGAATGTGGCATATTCATAATGCTCTCCCCAGTGTGCCTGGGGTTGACTGGCTTCCCTACTCATGCCAATGTGATTTTTCTTTAAAGTGTTTTCCTATTAGTATTACTTGAATTCAATGCACAGGCCAAGGCTTGTTTGATGCTCTGGCAGAAGCCCTGCCTTTCTGTTATGTACAGAGCGGAGATCTTTGCTGCATTCCAATAGGGGACTGAGCAACAAATCTGCTGGTTAATCATTTATTGCTGTGTGAACCTGCTGAATAGCAAATATGCTGTAAAGGGGAAAGGAAAGGGCATGGCAAGAGATTAACTGAGGACAGTCAAAAGTCAACCAGAAAGGAGAGGGGATGAGGCTGGAAAGGTCAGGTGGCAAACAAGAAGACTACTGTAGTGTAAACACCACCTAGCAGCAGCACAGGGACAGGGGCACTGTCCTGCTCCTTGTTCAGCTCTTTCTGCTCCGTGACCACAGGTACTGCAGGCTGAATGAGTAGCTATTACCTGCAGCTGAATTTGGTGGCTAGTCTGCCTAGGAGAGCCTTCTGGATTCACTAAGTTTCTTTCACTTTTCCAAGACTCCAGTCTTTGCTGTGCTCCTGACAAGTGGAAACCTGTCATGATCCTTGTAGCCAGCAGACACACGCTTCCCCGTGCAAAGTGCCATTCTCACCAATGGCTCTGACTGACAGACCATTCTGGGAATGGACTTCCCCAATGGACCACTGCTTCCACAGTGTGGTAGGGCTGGTGGGACACACAACATGTATCTCACAGGACCATAAGCAGAGCTTAAGAAGAGCAAATGTCTCTCTTCTACAAACCCATAGGGTATTCACATTAGTCTTCCAACAGCTGAAGACCAGTGAGTTGGAACAGCACATAAACCACTGCCACCCAGGCAGCTGCAGATCACCCCAGTTAGATGACAGTTAGCTAGGAAATTAGACATGGTCACATGGGCACTGGCAAGATTTATGGTGTGTTTTTACTAATAAGAGGATGGCAGGATGCTTGGCCCCATGGCAGCCGTGTATGTGTAGCAGCAATCCCATGCAGGCTGGGACAGGGTATAACCCCACCCTAAGCTCACCTCCAGCAAGGAAAGCAGATGGAAATGGCATCCCAAAGCTGAGGAAAAGGCTCCATTTTGTTGCCTGTTAACATAGCAGTGGTATTATGGTGCCAGCATGCTCAGAGCATGGCAGCAAAGCGCTGTAAGATGGGATGTCTTCCCAGAAAGTGGGGTGTTTGTTTTGAGAAAAGCACAATACTGGGTGAATGCCACAATTCAGAGGGGGAAGTACCTCAGCCAACGTAAACAAAGCAGTTATTGATATATTTAAAGGACTGAGTTTCCTGATTTGAATTGTCACCATCCATCAGACTCAATCCCCTTTTCTTTGCTCTCCACCTCAAGCCTTGGTGTTGACACAGGCAGGAGCAGCTCTGAGAAGCCTAGTTGATCATCATACAGCTTTGCCCATGTTGATGGGGGAGACTCTGGAAAAGCCCATGGTGCCGGCATGCTCACGCATTTCTGCTTTGCGGAGGGCTGTGAGCACCACTACAGCTGCCCTTGGTCCAGTCGTTCTGGGATATCCCCATGGTATGAGCCTCGGCCATTGCTTTGTTCATTAATTACTTGAAGACATCTTACACTGTTTCCATCCCTCCTCCATTGCCTTTTTGACTCTGCTGAGATGCAGTCGAGTCCTCCCTACCTTTTATATCTTGCAACAGGCCTATGTCAGATAGATACTCATACAAGATTATCACTCCCATCTATGGGGCAGTGGTGCATCAAGAAATAGCACAACAGAAACACAGCTGGGCCTTTAACTGTCTCAGTATCAGTCTTTATGCCAGCTTCAGGAAAATAGTTTTTTGCCACCATCTGCTCATGCCAGACTGGTGTGAGCTTAGTAACAGTAGAAGATTTGCTGCATTTTATTCCCTCTCCTGTAGAAGACACTGGTCCAGTTTTTGCCTGACTGGGAAGGAGAGTAAGTTAGGAAGGCCAACAGGAAACCACTTACCAACTAGACCAACCAGAGGGGAGTTTGTTACTCTTACTGTTTTTTAAAATACTAAGAAGTGAAAACGAAATAAACTATTGCCTATTTGATGGCCCCAGCAGGATTATATTGCTTCACAGTGTGCATGACAAAAACAAACATATATGTCGACCAGAAACGCTCCTCTATTTGCCTGAATGCAAGCACAAATCACACTGCAAAGTATTTTTGCAGTCAGCGTTCTCATTAAAAGCAATCAAAATAAGCAGGAATATTTTGCCAAAGTTGAAAATATCTCTGTCAATTTGATTTGGGCAATTTACCTTGCAGCAGTTAAGTATCAGCTGAAAATGAGGGCACTAATCAAATAAGGAACCAGTATCTCCCTTTTCCTCTTAAAGGCTCTGCCAAACTATAGCAGTGTGTGAGCATTGTTGTGGACAGGAGTGACAGCAGGTGGATAAAGAAAAAAAGCCTGGGAGAATGAGAGGAATGGAAGTGGCATTACTGTCCAGTTGTTGTATGATTTGATGCCTATCAGAAACAAAAAGATCTGGCATTTCAGTTTTTCCATGGAGACTCCAGCTGAGCAAGGGCAGCATCAGCATGGTGCAGAAGCCAAGGCTCCTTGCCGCCCAGGCAGCAGCTGTGGTGCAACATAGCACAGCATCCTTCTATGATTGTTCCCAGCATAGACAGGATGTCTCTGCCTGAGTTTGAGGACCACTTCCATGTTTCTCTTTGCATGTGGTGTGTCAGAGATATTATATGTATTAAGGAGTCTCCTCTTGGCCAGGACATGCTCCCTTGGCCACCACGTCCAGGATGTGACTTCCCGTCTGGAAGACTTGCAACATAGCTCTTCACAGAACTTTGCTGTATATCCTGAGCTCCTCCCGTTCATTTTACCCAAGAGACCCTGCAGGCCTCAGTGATCCAGCAGCTACCACTATGTTACATCCAGGCACGTTTCTATCAGCAGAAGTACAAAAATACCAGACTTGCTATCAAAGCACAAGCAAGCCATAGATGTTAGTGTGCAAATCTGGGCTCATCATAAAACAGGGCTGTGATCTGAAGGACACGATACCAAATGAGACTCAATTCCCTTTCAAGTAAAAGTGCAAGTGGAGAGGGACACCACGTACCTGAGGGTAGGTAGGAGAGGGAGGTAGCACCTGTGCATAAGATGGCAGGGCAATTTTGGCCTCCAAAATGCTGATATTAACCCCCACCTAAAACATTCTTGTGCAGACAGGGTCAAAAAGGGGTTTTCTTGTTTCAAAATGTAAAAAAATGCAATGGTCATTACAAATACAGCAGTAAAAATGTGTATGCCACCTCATGGCAGAGCTGGACCTCCTTCTCCCTTGTGCCAGTTCAGACCAGAGGGTTATGCATCACGCAGACTGTGAACAGGTCTTCTGCTCCTACTCAGCCATCCCATTCTTCAGAGCTGGCAGCTGAGCCATATTAAATATGAAGATCTCTTCCTCAGGGACTTTCTAGGAACTTACTTCAGGAGGATTCCTGTTGCTGAGGACATGCATCAAAGCACTATATATCCTGTGGGAGGAGAAGGGGAATTCTTTTGCAGACATCATCTCTTCCTTATGTAATTAATAAAGTCAATGGGAAACGAATCCAGACATGAATATTTATCTTTGGCTTCCTGGTAAGCGTTTCACTGCACTAATTCCCTTGGCCTCTTTCCAGTTCACTTAGAAAGAGAATCCAGATACAGTGGCTCCTCATAAGGACTTTGGTACCTGGGGACATGTAGCCTGAGAACCTGTTGACCTTCTAGTTGTCTGACTGGGCTGACACATGTATCTTCATCTAACCTATCCCCTAAAGACTCACCCCTCTAAGTAGCATTTTCCATAAAGAGTAATACTGCAACAATTCCATTAACCAGCAGTGCTGTGAAACTGTGTGCTGGTTCCTTCCCACACAACACCCTCATCCCGCGGAGATGTCTGAGGGGGTAAGATGGAAAGGCATCTGTCAGCACAGCCGCATCAGTTTTGACATCAGCAGGACACAGGCCTTCTGCTGCACAAGGGTGACTTTCACTGCAGGAGGCCAAAACCATCAGGGCTTGGGAAGGGACCACAGATGCACCCCAAGGCAGCACTAAAGATGGCAGCCTACTGTGTCTCCTGCTTTCCCCATGCACTCTTACTGCACAAACCTCTCCAACGCAATGGGCTGGGGGAAGAAGAACACAGCTAAGGTCTCCCTAAGCAGATCCCATGTCCCCAATGCCAGTGTTCCCCTGCACAAGGATGCTACTACTTACTATGACATGTGAAAGAGCCACAAGGCTTTACAACAGAGCACTTCCTCAGCTCACTTGTTTTGCACTAAACCTCTGCTCAGGCAAATTTGCAAAGTCAAGGGCCACCAGGTTAGGAAAGCATAAGTTAGACTTCTCCATGTAACCCTACTTTTCCTCCATCCAGGTACAAATGCTGTAATACAGACTTTACATGCAAAAGGTAGTCTGCTTTCACCCCACAGGCTTCCTGTCTGCACATAACAAAGTATTATATGCAATCTGCACAGATTCATCATTCTCACCTGCTTTACCCATGTTTACCTAACTCTCTCTATCCAATCTCTGCCCTGAACATACTATTATTAATTTCCTGCTGTAGTACTTTTCCCAATGTACTTGCTTCTTCATGGACATTAATGAAACTAAGACTAAGCTTATGAGATTAAGCCTCAAACTTTTGGATCATCCCCCAGCTTGGTCTTCTGCTCAGTGTGGATTTCCCTGGTGTTATCTATGGTCCCTACACTGGGAAATCTGACTGCCTGATAGCAGCTCCATAGTTAGTGAGCAGAGTCAGAGATCCCTTAGTGGGTGACTCCAATCATCTTCTTGGTTGCAGGTAAAGACTCTCCCTTTTGGGCCACATTTGTGATGGCTGCTCCTTGCCACCCATCAGTGGTTTCTTGCCGCCTGTCGGTGGTTTCCCCTTCTGAACAGGCACTGCTCAGCAGCTCAGGCAGCACCTTCAGCCCCAGCCCAGTGCAGGAGGATGAAGTGTCACAGACTACACAGCAGTAGTTCACCAGCAGTTGACCAGAGCTGCCCAGGTAGTGGGAGCAGGAAAGCAGCACAGCAGCAAGCAGCAGCACAAGCTCTGCTAGGGTAATCCCTTCCTGCCAGTGAGTCAGACACTTTAACCTGCTATATTACCTCACACGTAGGTTACGTGATTCAGACGCTACCTGATCCCTTGATAAGTGTGGTAATGCATGTCTAATTGTGTGCCAACAATGCCCTACTAGTCCCTGAAAGTGAAAATTTCGCGTGGAGTGTGATGGAGAAGCAGGATTAATCCAGGTGATCTCTCTCCTCAGCTCCTTGACAGCCTGAGCTAGTAGTATCTGGTCAGTGGGGAAGGGAGGGCCACATGTCAGAAAATGAGGGGAAACAAGGTGAAAGAAAGGTTAGAAGATACACGTCCAGAAGAGGCGAGTTGTTCAGCATTCGGGAGACAGAACTGACAGGAGGCAAGGTTATGCTCCTTGCATGTGCAAAAGTCTGCCACAGAAAAGGGAATAAATTGTTCTCACTGCCCACTGGGGCTGGACAAGAGAACTTTAATGAGTTGGTGCTAGACAGTGGGGGCCAGGTCTTCTCATCAGGAAGCTGTGGTCTAGTGCACAGGGATGCTGCAGGAGGCTGTGAAACATACATTGCTCACATCTAGTTTAGGCAGCACTTTTCTTGGATCAAGAGGATGGAGCTAGTGACCAGAAAGACGTTTCCAGGGCACCAGCAAGGCACCTACGTTGCCACTGCTTTCCCAGACAACTGGGACAGAATAGTTCAGGCATCCCTCCCTGTACTTGAGTCTGGGGAACAGCCTTTTGCTCCAGGACTATCTATTGCTCTGTTCCAGTCACCTTTTCCTCTTGTGTGTCACCCACCTCTACTAGCTCCTCATTTTCACTGTCATCTGCCGCTTGCCATCATTAGTTCATGTCTGTGATCTTCCCTTTCTTCCCACCTTCCTTCTCAACAGTTTCTGGCTTGTTCCCCCCAGTGCTTCCTACTGTCCTCCCTGCAGTCTTCACCAACCAGGCCCTTAGTTCTCCTGTTCTTCTTCTGCCTCCTATCTTTCTACATTAACACTCAGGGAGCTCCTCCCCTACATTGTCTGAAGTCACATCTATCCATGAAGACATGGAAAAGAGACTCATCACAAGTTCCCACACACCCCAGGCTCAGCGCCAGTGGTGCAACTGCAGAGAAATCCTTGCTCAGCGAGGAAGGATCCCTGAGACAGCATCTCAGGCTCTCCTGTGCCTGCAGGCTGGTGAAAGCCCTGGGAAGGGCTGGAATGAAAGCAACAGAGGCACAGCATTGGCAGAATTTAGCAGGCAGACTCTTACAAACCTTTGCCAAGCAGGGGCACACCAAGCTTTTTGGAACTTAAAGCCTGGTTAGCTCTGGGTCGCTTTTTTTAACAAGGGTAGAAATCAGTAACATATTGATCCCTTTCAGAGAAAATATCAAGGCCTTCCTCCAAAGTACTCAATGAAAATGCTGTAAGAAAGGAAAGATTATTACAGGGCAAACCAATGTCATTTTCCTAAACTTATTCTCAGAAACCAATGAATCATTTTAGCCATTTTTTTTCTCTTTTAATTAATTAATTACTGAATTAATCATGCTGAAGCAAGAGACCTAGCATGGAAAATTTTAAGTAAATTAGTGACTGGCAATGTTGTGAGCACCTATAGGGGGAAAAAAAAGGGCAGAATAAGACAAAGATGGCGAACGTTACCCATCACTGCCCCTAATACAGAGATGGCATTTGCACAACCGCGACTGCCCCTCCTGTCGAAATTATCAATGTGGTCATGCTAGTACCCACTTGGTAGGAGTTTTTCCTAAATAAAGGCTGAATAAAGAGCATGGTGTTGCCTGATAAAATCATGGTGCAAATAAGAAAGTGCAGTAACACCGAGTATTGTATCTTATGAGATCTGTGCTTCCTTGTTGGTCAGAAAGCCTAGGTAGTTTACAGAGCACATGAGATCAGGAAGTCCACCAAGATGTTCCTGGTGCAGATTAGTCACAAGACTGTGTATCCAAGGGTCAGTCACACGTGTGATATAAAAATAAAACAGTAGCAGTTGATAATCTGTTGGTCTGTACGCATAATCGATGTGCACTGTAATGTGCCATGGATCACATTGTACACACATGCATGTCCATTCTCAGACTGAACATCCTCCACGCCAAGAAGATGTTTTTTGTGCAGATCTAAACAGCAAAGTACAACTCTGAACTGCAAAACAGAGAGAAGGGACCTCACTGAAGAACTTCCAGTGTCCTGGCAAAATCGCCATAAAAAGATCCTTGATCACAGAATCACAGAAGAATTCAAGTAGAACTACCTGGAGGGACACATAGAGACCATGCCTCCTAATTGAGGAAGGAAATGCTAAACCAGCAGCGCCAGACTGTTATATCCCTGTATAGATTTGTCCTCAGAGAGGGGATAAAAGTCTTAGCATTATAAAATCAGCAGTTCTGGAATACATCATTGGAAGGGTCATGTCTAGCAATGCAACTTTTCAGTCAGCAGAAGCAGAGGAAGATAGCACTACTTCCACCAGCCTATCAGCAGGAGATAGATGAGGCTCCTGGGTAGACATATGCAGAACACCCATGCTAAGTGTGCTAAAAGAGAAACAGACATTTGTCATTAAGTGATGCCACTCAGTATGCTGCCTCTACCAAATGCTGGTGACCTAGAAAGTGCCACCTATGTCAAATGGTTTCTACCAGAGAGAACATTTGTGTCCTGCTTATATGGAATTTGCTTTTATTAATTTTCCTACCCATTTTTAACATCTTAAAGGCAAGCCATCTAAATTACACTTGCACCTTTGCAGCAAAACCCAGAACACGGGGTCACGGCCATGAAGGAGGAAGACTCAGAGAAGTGTGCCGTGGGAGACCACGTGGGGAGGACGAAAAGAGAGATTTTCATGAGCAGTCACAGAGAATGAGCCCAACAGTGATAACTGAGCCCCAACTCTGAAAGCATGGACCTATCTTAGATAGCTCAGCAATTCATCCACATGTTGCCAAAGCCCGTGGCATGGTTCCTGTCCTTTTCACTAACCCCGCAGTTGGATTTCTCTACTCACAACCCATGCCAGGGTAATACAGTACAGGAAGGAGGTTCAGGACATAACACACAACGAACAGCAAGTTCCAACAACTTTCTCACCATGCTGCATGGTATTTTTTGCTTTCTTCAAGACTCCTTCTGCTGCAGACTACCAGCAGGAGAACAGGCATAGAAATAGAGTGTTAGTGGCGCCTTCCCCAGAGAGATTTCACACTTCTAAGGCACAAATCAGCATCACTTTGATCAAGTGCTGTGCACCATGTATGGTTAATGACGATACAGCAGTCCCTCCTGTTCTTGCTGTCACAGAGGCTCTGTGAGCCTAGGAACCAGAGGTTTAAACCTTCTCTACAGCAAAAAGTACACTCTGCAAACCAGAGCATCAAGGTCCTGTGCTGC